GTAAACCTCTGCTACCATTACTAAATGTCAGTCTCTATCTCTATTTCTCTATTGCTGTATCTTTCATGACTTTCGATAGAACTCAATGGTCATTGATAAGATCTACAGAGCTAACTTGTATTGAATAACATTTGTTGTGGTCTTCAGGATATGGTCCAGGAGCTGGCATTCCCAATGGTCAGGGTGCTAAACCCAATGGTAAACCTTTGCTACCTTGTCTGTGTCTACGGCCCTATTCAATGTTTGTCAAGTTGAGGTTGAGCTGAATGGTGCATGTTGTGTGGTAATGCCAAAGTTTGTAGCATATTATGCGTGCATGATCTGGTCATTTCTAGAACAGTTTTGAGTAAGAGTTGTTGTTGGTTTTAGGATATGGTCCAGGAGCTGGAGTTCCAAATGGTCAGGGAGCCAAAGGCAATGGTAGAACTCTGCTACCCTGTCTGTGTCTCTCTGTCTGTCTTTGTGCATCTTGTCTGTCTGTGTCAAGGGCAGCATGCATTGTGTTTGCAAGTGGTTTTGATTTATTTCGTTGTTGTAACAACTGTTGTTGGTTCCAGGATATGGTCCAGGAGCTGGAGCTCCCAACGGTGCTAAAAGCAATGGTAAACCTCTTTATGAGTGTTACAGGTCTATATCCGTCTCTCTTTCTTTGTTGCTCTCTTATGATAAGATACAGAACTTCTGTTTATAATAACTACAGAGCCAACATGAATTGAGTAACCAGTGTTCAATAATAGTTGTTGTGGTCTCCAGGATATGGTCCAGGAGCTGGAGTTCCCAGTGATCAGGGACCCAAAGGCAATGGTAAACCTCTGCTACCCTGTCTGCGTTTCTCTGTCTTTGTGATGCATTGCTGCATGCCTGTAACCTCAACTGTTTGTTAGAATTAGCATATTGAAGCCTTTGACAGATCCAGTGTGCCCAGGCCAGTGTGATGCCACTAAATGTTGATGCTGGTTTGGTCTGTTGTAGAACAGGGTTGAGTAAGAGTTGTTGTTGGTTCCAGGATATGGTCCAGGAGCTGGAGCACCCAACGGTGCTAAACCCAGTGGTGCTAAACCCAATGGTAAACCTCTGCTACCATTACTAAATGTTTCTCTATTGCTGTATCTTTCATGACTTTCGAAAGAACTCAATGGTCATTGATAAGATCTACAGAGATAACTTGTATTGAATAACATTTGTTGTGGTCTTCAGGATATGGTCCAGGAGCTGGCATTCCCAATGGTCAGGGTGCTAAACCCAATGGTAAACCTTTGCTACCTTGTCTGTGTCTACGGCCCTATTCAATGTTTGTCAAGTTGAGGTTGAGCTGAATGGTGCATGTTGTGTGGTAATGCCAAAGTTTGTAGCATATTATGCGTGCATGGTCTGGTCATTTCTAGAACAGTTTTGAGTAAGAGTTGTTGTTGGTTTTAGGATATGGTCCAGGAGCTGGAGTTCCAAATGGTCAGGGAGCCAAAGGCAATGGTAAACCTCTGATAACCTATCTGTGTCACAGTCTGTCTCTGTGTCTTTCTGTATCAAAGTGGAGCTTCTTTGACTGTATGTTGCATGATGTGTGCTACAAAAGTTGGTGCAATGTGACTTCTGAACGTTGACTAGGATTAATATATTTGTGCATGGCCAGAGGGAAAAGGATCCAGGGCAGCATGTTTTGTGCTCATGCAAGTGATTATTTACAATAAGTCAGTGTTGTCAGTGTTGAGTAACAGTTGTTGTGGTCTCCAGGATATGGCCCAGGAGTTGGAGCACCCAATGGTGGTAAAAGCAATGGTAAACCTCTTTCTGAGTCTTCATCAGTCTCTATTTCTCTGTCACTTTAGAGGTAAACCGGCACCTTTCTCTGAGTCCACCCATCACTTGGTGACACTCTTTTTCCTGGTCCTTCAAGCCAGACATTTAAGTACTCTGAACCTTTCCATTAGGCCAAATAAACATGACAATATGGCATGTTATTACAGTGAAATGGTATAGCATCACTTATTATAAATAAGGTACAGAACCTCTGATGATAAGATCTACAGAGAAAACTTATGTTGAGTAACCAGTATTGAGTAACAGTTATTGTGGTCTTCAGGATATGGTCCAGGAGCTGGAGTTCCCAGTGGTCAGGGTGCTAAACCCAATGGTAAACCTGTGCTACCCTGTCTGTGTCTATGTATGTCTTCAATGTTTGTTGTCCATGGCAAAGTTGAGGTCGAGCAGAATGGTGCATGCTGTGTGATAATGTTACAGTTTGTAACATATTTGTGCATGCCTGTTACCTGTTCATTGGAATGAACATATAGTAGCATTTGACAGACCCATGGATGCTGGTCTGGTCAATTGTAGAACAGTGTTGAGTAAGAGCTGTTGTGGTTCCAGGATATGGTCCAGGAGCTGGAGCACCCAATGGGGCTAAAAGCAATGGTAAACCTCTGCCTGTCTGTGTTGCATGCTGTATGGTACTCTATTTTTAGAGGAATATTGATAAGCTCCTGAACACAACCAGCTAGTTTTTGCTAGATATTTGTGCATATACTATAACCTATGTGATGAAATAATAGGATCAAGGGCAGAATGTGTTGTGCAAGTGGTTTTGATCAGTTGTCTTTAAGCAGTGTTGAGTAACAGTTGTTGTTGGTTCAGGATATGGTCCAGGAGCTGGAGCTCCCAACGGTGCAAGTGTTCAATAATAGTTGTTGTGGTCTCCAGGATATGGTCCAGGAGCTGGAGTTCCCAGTGATCAGGGAGCCAAAGGCAATGGTAAACCTCTGCTACCCTGTCTGTTTGTCTCCTTCTGTATATGTGCATCTTGTCTGTCTGTGTCAAAGACAACATGTGTTGTGTTTATGCAAGTGGTTTAGATTTTCTATAAGCAGTGTTGAATAACAGTTGTTGTGGTCTCCAGGATATGTTCCAAGAGGTGGAGTTCCCAATGGTGGTAAAAGCAATAGTAATGCTGGTTTAAATGACACTCTTTTGTATGGTCCTTCGAGAAGGATACTTTCATACTCAGAACCTTTCCACAAGCCATGTTATTACATAAGGATGCTAAAGTATACCCAATAGTATAGTATAAAATAGTAAAGAATCTCAAATGTTAACCTTGAGAACTTTGGATGAGCTCCAAAGGTAACTTACATTGAGTAAACAGTGTTGAGTAAACAGTGTTGAGTAACAGTGCTAAAGCAATGGTAAACCTCTTCTTGAGTGTTACAGTCTATCAGTCTCTATTTCTCAGTAATCTCTCTTATGATAAACTGCTACAGAACTTCTGATTATACAGAGCTAACTTGTGTTGTGTAACAAGTGTTCAGTAACAGTTGTTGTGGTCTCCAGGATATGGTCCAGGAGCTGGAGTTCACAGTGATCAGGGAGCCAAAGGCAATGGTAAACCTCTGTTACCCTGTCTGTGTCGTTTCTGTCAGTCTTTGTGCGTCTCGTCTGTCTTTGTCAAGGGCAGCATGCATTGTGTTCTGTAAGCAGTGTTGAGTAATAACTGTTGTTGTGGTCTCCAGGATATGGTCCAGGAGCTGAAGTTCCCAATGGTGGTGCTAAAAGCAATGGTAATGGCAATTTAAATCACTGGATTTAAGTTACTAGATTGCACTCATTTTCATAACCTACAAAACCTTAGATAATAAAATCTACAGCGCGACCTTGCTTTGACCCAGTGTTAAGTAACAGTTATTGTGTTCTCCAGGATATGGTCCAGGAGCTGGAGCACTCAACAGTGGTAAAAGCAATGGTAAAGCTCTACTGTATCGGAGTGTTACAGTCTCTCGATCTCTCTTTCTCTGTCACTCTCATATGATAAGCTACAGAACTTGTGACTATAAGTCTTACTTAGCTTGTTGAGTAACCAGTGTTCAGTGTCAGTTGTTGTGGTCTCCAGGATATGGTCCAGGAGCTGGAGTTCCTACTGGGCTTGGTGCTATAAATGGTAGACTTCTGCTACCCTGGGGTTGTTTCTGTTTCCCTGTCTATTCTTCATCAGTGATGATCCGCACACTGTTCTGCATGCTGGATGGCACTGCCACTACAACAATTATGTCTTTGTCAGCTTTACATTTAAGACCATATTGGAAGTAAGTCTCGCTTTAAATGGAAGTAAGTCTCGCTTTAACACGACAGACTTATTGAATGCCTGTAACTGTTCTGGAAAGGACGTAACGGAGCCATCCAATGGTCAACTGTAAACAGTGTTGAGCAAGTAGTGTAAAGTAATCACTATTGTGATCTCTAGGATATGGCCCAGGAGTTCAGGAACCCAGTGGTGCCAAAAGCAATGGTAAACCTCTGATACCCTGTCTGTGTCACAGTCTGTCTCTATGTCTCTTTCTGTATCGAAGTGGAGCTCCTTTGACTGTATGTTGCATGCTATTTAGAACTATCTTTAAAAATATATTTTTGGTGACATGACATTTGCTGACATCCTCCCAAATACTAGTCAGCTAGTCTCTGTGATATTTGTTGTGCATGGCTAAGAATCTGTGTTGAATTACTAGGATAAAGAACAGCGTGTGTTGTAGGAATGCAAATGGTTTTGAATAATCAGTGGTTAGTAACACTTGTTGTGGTCTCTAGGATATGATCCAGGAGCTGGAGTTCTCAATGGTGGTAAAAGCAATGGTAAGCCTCTTTCTCAGTCTCTGTAATGTCACTGTGTCTGGGCACCACCCAGTGAGGGTTGGACACAGGGAGAGGTACTGTTTAAAGTGGGCCCCCTGTTAGGACAATGACACAGTAGGAGGAGACAGGACGATATGTTTCTTATTTTAAACCACTCTCTGGGTGGTGTTGTTTTTCATGGTCCTTCGAGCCGGACACGTAATATATAATAATATATGTCATTTAGCAGACACTTTTATCCAAAGCGACTTCCAGTTATGCATGCATACATTTAACGTATGGGTGGCCCCAACGGGAATCGAGCCCACAACCCTTGGTGTTGCAAGCGCTATAACAGAGGGACGCTGTTTCTATTATGATAAGCTAAAGAGCTAACTTGTTTTGTGGTCTCCAGGATATGGTCCAGGCGCTGGAGTTCCCAGTGATCAGGGAGCCAAAGGCTATGGTAAACCTCTGTTACCGTGTCTGTGTCTGTCCTTTTTTCTATTTTCCCTTGTGGTTGTAATATTGTGTAGGTAGCGCTGTCGAGTAACATTTGTTGTGGTCTCTAGGATATGGTCCAGGAGTGGGAGAGCCCAATGGACAGGGTGCTAAAGCAACCAAAACTGGTAACCCCATACAATCTAGCTGTCTGTGTGTTATGTCCACCTGCATGTGCCAATCACTGTCATTTGTAGCAATCACTTTGTGTCAATGGCTACAGTGCCTTTGGAAAGTATTCAGACCCCTTTACTTTTTCCACATTTTGTTACGTTGCAGCTTTATTCTAAAATGGATTTTAAAAAAGAATAATCCTCAGCAATCTACACACAATACCCCATACTGACAAAGCGAGAACAGGTTGTAAGACATTTTTGCAAATGTATAAAAAAATAAAATAAAATAAAAACTTATTCAGACCCTTTGCTATGAGACTCGAAATTGAGTTTAGTTGCATCCTGTTTCCATTGATCATCCTTGAGATGTTTCTACAACTTGATTGGAGTCCATCTGTGGTAAATTCAATTGATTGGACATGGTTTGGAAAGGCACACACCTGTCTATATAAGGTCCCACAGTTGACAGTGCATGTCAGAGCAAAAACCAAGCCATGAGGTCGAAGGAATTGTCTGTAGAGCGCCAAGACAGGATTGTGTCGAGGCACAGATCTGGGGAAGGGTACCAATAAATGTCTGCAGCATTGAAGGTCCCCAAGAACACAGTGGCCTCCATCATTCTTAAATGGAAGAAGTTTGGAACCACCAAGACTCTTCCTAGAGCTGGCCGCCCGGCCAAACTGAGCAATCGGTGGAGAAGGGCCTTGGTCAGGGAGGTGACCAAGAACCCGATGGTCACTCTGACAGAGCTCCAGAGTTCCTCTGAAGAAGGACAACCATCACTGCAGCACTCCACCAATCAGGCCTTTATGGTAGAGTGGCCAGACGGAAGCCACTCCTCAGTAAAAGGCACATGACAGCCTGCTTGGAGTTTGCCAAAAGGCACCTAAAGACTCTCAGACCATGAGAAACAAGATTCTCTGGTCTGATGAAACCAAGATTGAACTCTTTGGCCTGAATGCCAAGCGTCAAACCTGGCACCATCCCTACGGTGAAGCATGGTGGTGGCAGGATCATGCTGTGGGGATGTTTTTCAGCGGCAGGGACTGGGAGACTAGTCAGGATCGAGGGACAGATGAATGGAGCAAAGTCAGAGAGATTCTTGATGAAAACCTGCTCCAGAGCGCTCAGGACCTCAGACTGGGGCAAAGGTTCACCTTCCAACAGGACAACAACCCTAAGCACACAGCCAAGACAACACAGGAGTGGCTTCAGGACAAGTCTCTGAATGTCCTTGAGTGGCCCAGCCAGAGCCCGGACTTGAACCCGATCTAACATCTCTGGAGAGACCTGAAAATAGCTGTGCAGCAACGCTACCCATCCAACCTGACAGAGCTTGAGAGGATCTGCAGGGAAGAATGGGAGAAACTCCCCAAATACAGGTGTGCCAAGCTTGTAGCGTCATACCCAAGAAGACTCGATGCTGTAATCGCTGCCAAAGGTGCTTTAACAAAGTACTGAGTAAAGGGTCTGAATACTTACGTAAATGTGATATAAAAACCTGTTTTTGCTTTGTCATTATAAGATATTGTGGGTAGATTGATGAGGGAAAAGAACGATTTAATCAATTTTTAAATAAGTCTGTAACGTAACAAAATGTGGAGAAAGTCAAGGGGTCTGAATACTTTCCGAAAGCACTGTATATGATAATACCCTCTATGAATGATGCACCGGTCTTGTTGGCTCTATGTTTGTGTTTTGTTAAGCACACTGGAAGCAATTCACTTTTGATTAATTGCTTTAGGGATGGTTGACTTGAAATTAGAAATATTTTCACTGTGGCTTGGATTTGTGTAAACATATCTTTCTGTCTGGTCACAGTTATGTGGTAAGCATGGATGTTGTGTGTCACAGGCTACGGCCTAATCACAGTGATATGTAATGTGCATGGATGTTGTGCTCCGCAGGCTAGGAGCCAATAGCAGTATTGTGGGATGAGTGCTTGATGTATGTGTTCCTCAACAGGTACCAGGGTCAATCACAGTGTGATGAGTTTAGGGATCGTGTCCCACAGTCTCAAGTCAATCGCAGGGTTTTGTGCTGAGCTTTGTTGACTTATTCCACAGGCTACGGTGCTGGAGCAGGCAGCTATCCTGGGGCAGGGAACAATGGCTATGGAGCAGGTAATGGAACTGACACTGACAGACAAAAACCTAACCAACATCTTCTCTCCTTTCAATGTATGGCTCACTATTCTGTGGTATAAATAAAATAATTGGAAACATTACTAAATCTGGCACAGGTTCCATGTTACCTCTTCACAGTACATTCTAATGCATGTTAGGTGATGTAATTGAAATTCACTTAAAAGTAGATGATAGCTTGAGTAATGAATGCACCTATGCTACAGGTCTTGGACAAGGAGGATACCCCCAGAATGGAGCAGGCAAAGCTCCAGGAGGTGTGGCTTCTACTTTTTCGCTTTGTCTTTCTATTTCTGTCTCTCTTTATATATCTCTGTCTCTCTTTATATATCTCTGTCTCTCTTTATATATCTCTGTCTCTCTTTATATATCTCTGTCTCTCTTTATATATCTCTGTCTCTCTTTATATATCTCTGTCTCTCTTTATATCTCTGTCTCTTCTACTTTTTCTATCTTAATCCATTTTGCCCTCTTTCTCGCTCTTTCTCTCAATCTCAGGTGCCAGTCAGAGACAGGAGGATACCCTCAGGGTGGAGCAGGAGGATACCCACAGGGTGGAGCAGGAGGATACCCACAGGGTGGAGCAGGAGGATACCCACAGGGTGGAGCAGGCGGATACCCCCAGGGTGGAGCAGGAGGATACCCTCAGGGTGGAGCAGGAGGATACCCTCAGGGTGGAGCAGGAGGATACCCCCAGGGTGGAGCAGGAGGATACCCCCAGGGAGGAGCAGGAGGATACCCCCAGGGTGGAGCAGGAGGATACCCCCAGGGAGGAGCAGGAGGATACCCCCAGGGTGGAGTAGGAAAACCAGGCAAAGCTGGTGGTGGTGAGGCTTTTACTTTGTCAATGTCTTTCTCTTTATTTCTCTCTCTCTCTCTCTTTATATTCCTCTCTCTCTCTCTCTCTCTCTCTCTCTCTCTTCTATCTCTCTCTCCTCTTCTCTCTTCTCTCTTCTCTATCCTTCTTTCTCTCACTCTCTCTCTTTCTAATATCTTTTTTCTCTCACTCTCATTTGCCCTCTTCCTCACTCTTGCTCTCTCTCTTAGGTGCTAATCTGGGACAGGGAGGATACCCCCAGGCCAATTCATTATCACACTTTAGCTCTCTCTTTTTCTAATTTTCTAATTTTCTATGTTTCTCTAACTCTCTTACTATCTCTCCCACCTTTAATTTTCTCTCTCATTTCCATTTGCCATCTTCTTCACTCGATTTTGATCTCAGGTGCCAATCTCCCCCTCTCTCTTTTCACTACCCCTCTCTTTTTTCTCTTTATTAAATATCCCACAGTACTCTCTCTATGAATGATGTGCTGTGCTCTAATGTTTTTTTATTTGTCACCACAGGTTATGGTGATCAAATGGGAGGAGCATACCCCGGGGCTGGAGCGGGCAACGGCTATGGGAATGGTGAGTCAGCATGCTTCCCCTTGTCAAATTCCTTTAAGGTCAAATGGCTTAAAATATAACTACAGTTAGAGGACACTGTAGACTGAAGTATAGAGCTGAGGCATTGACGATGAAATATGAGATTCAACAGATATGTTGGGAATGACTGAGGATTACAGTAGCAGGGTGAAACATAGCTGCCTCTCTAGAGCCGGAAGACAACTGCACCAAGGTTGTCACTGAGGAGTGATCTTAAATTAGAGAAGGCAGATCCTCAGGGTCTGTGCCACCAGGAAGTGACCTCGACTTCCTTTGTCCTCATGCAGGTGGAGGCCCAGCTGGGGGGGCCAATGCAGTGCCTGCAGGTATTTGGTGTCGGCATGTGTCTCTGTCTATCTGTCTGTCTGTGCATGGCATGCACATGTCCTTCTCTATCTGTTAAACTTTCTACCCCCTGTACAGTAAGTACTGTTGTGGAAAACTTCTGCCATAACATTACACAAGCCCACGCTAAAGCCAGAGGAGTTGGAAAGCTGCATGCTAGAGCTGGCGCTTTCAAGGAGCAGGACACTAATCCGGACCCTTATAAGAAATCGCGCTATGCCCTCAGATGAACCATCAAACAGGCAAAGTGTCAATACAGGACTAAGATTGAATCCTACTACACCGGCTCTGATGCTCGTCGGATGTGGCAGGGCTTGCAAACTATTACGGACTACAAAGGGAAACCCAGCTGCGAGCTGCCCAGTGACGCGAGCCTACCAGACGAACTAAATGCCTTTTTATGCTCGCTTCGAGGCAAGCAACACTGAAGCATGCATGAGAGCACCAGCTGTTCCGGACAACTGTGTGATCACGCTATCCGTAGCCGATGTGAGCAAGACCTTTAGACAGGTCAACATTCACAAGGCCGCGGGGCCAGACGGATTACCAGGACGTGTACTCAGAGCATGCGCAGATCAACTGGCAAGTGTCTTCACTGACATTTTCAAGCTCTCCCTGACCGGGTCTGTAATACCTACATGTTTCAAGCAGACCACCATAGTCCCTGTGCCCAAGAAAGCGAAGGTAACCTGCCTAAATGACTACCGCCCCGTAGCACTCACATTAGTAGCCATGAAGTGCTTTGAAAGGCTGGTCATGGCTCACATCAACACCATCATCCCGGAAACCCTAGACCCACTCAAATTTGCATACCGCCCAAACAGATCCACAGATGACACAATCTCAATCGCACTCCACACTGCCCTTTCCCACCTGGACAAAAGGAACACCTATGTGAGAATGCTGTTCATTGACTACAGCTCAGTGTTTAACACCATAGTGCCCACAAAGCTCATCACTAAGCTAAGGACCCTGGAACTAAACACCTCCCTCTGCAACTGGATCCTGGACTTCCTGATGGGCTGCCCCCAGGTGGTAAGGGTAGGCAACAACACATCTGACACGCTGATCCTCAACACTGGGCTCATCAGGGGTGCGTGCTTAGTCCCCTCCTGTACTCCCTGTTCACCTACGACTGCGTGGCCAAGCACGACTCCAACGCCTTTATTAAGTTTGCTGTCGACACAACAGTGGTAGGCCTGATCACCGACAACGATGAGACAGCCTATAGGGAGGAGGTCAGAGACCTGGCAGTGTGGTGCCAGGACAACAACTTCTCCCTCAATGTGAGCAAGACAAAAGGATCTGATAGTGGATTACAGGAAAAGGAGGGACGAACACGCCCCCATTAACATCAACAGGGCTGTAGTGGAGAGGGTCGTGAGTTTAAAGTTCCTTGGTGTCACCAACGAACTATCATGGTCCAAACACACCAAATAGTCGTGAAGAGTGCACGACAACACCTTTTCCCCCTCAGGAGACTGAAAAGATTTGGCATGGGTTCCCAGATCCTCAAAAGGTTTTACAGCTGCACCATCGAGAGCATCCTGACCGGTTGCATCACCGCCTGGTATGGCAACTGCTTGGCATCCGACCGTAAGGCGCTACAGAGGGTAGTGTGTACGGCCCAGTACATCTCTGGGACAAGCTTCCTGCCATTCAGGACCTATATACTAGGCAGTGTCAGAGGAAGGCCCAGAAAATTGTAAAAAGACTCCAGTCACCCAAGTCATAGACTGTTCTCTCTGCTACCGCACGGCAGCTCTTTTTAATTATATTTCTTGAACTGCATTGTTGGTTAAGGGCTTGTAAGTAAGCATTTCACGGTAAGGTCTACATCTGTTGTATTCGGCGCATGTGACAAATAACATTTGATTTGAAATGTGTGCTTTCTTGTGAAGGTTTTTAACGTGCCCCCTCCTCTCCACAGGCTATGGCAATGGCTACGGTGCTGGTGCTGGAGGCAATGGTTATGGAGCCGGTAGGTCTCATCATCTATAGCCAACCAACTAACATCTGTGGGTGGGTGACCAACTACTAACCCGCTCACATACAGACATAATTATAATTGATTGATGATTATAATTATGTTTCAGGGATTGGGTACCCAACAGTGTTAGCGGATGGTGCTGCTGGGCTGGGAGGCAAGGCAGGCAAGGGAGCAGGAGGTAACCATTCATAACCAGTAATAACTCATAATAACTCAATCAGGTAATTACTTTATTCTATGGAAATATGACTCTCTCTCAGTAAGATGAGGAAGGTCATTAACACTTTCTATGAGGTATATATACAAATAATGTGTTATAGTGCATTATAACACTTGCTATAAGCTGTCATAACAACTCATGAGTAGTTATAACATCCCAACTTAGGATCTTACTTAGGCCTACTCGAAACAAATAAAAATCTTTCAAAGTCTGCATTGAGTGAGGTAAGAGGGAAGTACATTTATTTGGCAGGTCATAATCATATAACATGCAATGTGTAATGTAACAGTGTGGACGCTAGGTGTAGCAATTGTCTCCCATTTGGAAATAACTATTGACCATGCCAATGTTCTGCCAACCACGTTTTATCTCCTATAATTTTGTTTTATGAGGGGGTTTTATTCATCCCTTTAGGGGACCTCTATCTAACCACTGAGTTAACCGCCCAGGGGTTCATCGTTTGTTTTAATCCTCTGCTATTCTAGGTCTTGGCGCAGGAGGATATCCACAGGGACAGGAGCAATATGGTGAGGAAGTCACCCTGAGATGGAAGAGGAGGGATCAAGAAGTGGATATTTTCCCTATAATGTCCTGTCTTGAAAAGATAGAGGGCATCAACAAGCAGGATGTATACATGGAAGGAGAATAACTTTCACCCTAATTAATGTTACTAATCACATCACACTCCAAAATGTGCATGCTACTAACGAAAGTAATTGTCACGTTCGCTTACAGACGGGTCAGACCAAGGCGCAGCTTGATATGCATACATGTTTATTTAAAGGAATAAACAACCGACAAAACAACAAAACGAACCGTGAAGTCCAAGGCAGCACAACACAACATACCTTAACTGGAACAAGATCCCCCAACCCACTAGTGGCAACAGGCTACCTAAGTATGGTCCCCAATCAGAGACAACGAGCTATAGCTGCCTCTGATTGGGAACCACCCTGGCCAACATAGATCTAAACGATCTAGAAACTAAACATAGAAAACACAACATAGAAACTACACACCCTGGCTCAACATTTAAGAGTCCCCAGAGCCAGGGCGTGACAGTAATGAAACACTCCCTGGACATATCACTGTGTAATACCTAATCACTCACCCAAAACACTCCGAATTACCATCGGGAACGACCATCTGAAACATACCTGATCAATTAATCCATAATCATGTAATAATCCATAAACGTGCAGTATATGGATGACCCCTTTAACCATACAATTATGTTTGTAAAACATCTGTTTCAGGAATGCCAACGTATCAAAATATGCATGTTCAGCACATCATTCATTACATCATCTGGATGATTACATCTAAATATATCTTCATTCTAAATTCAATGATACATAGCGAAATAGTCTCTCCATTTTATGATTTCCTTCAGACAATCATACATTCTGTGTTCCACTTCTCATCTGACATACTGTCTATACTCACTCTGATCATCTCTGTGTAATCCATCTCTGTTTAACTCGCATGCCTCCTCCTTCATGCAGTACCCTGTGTGTCTGTAGGGGGTGCTGGCTCTGGTCCTGGTGGTGCTCTGCCCTATGGGGGCCAGCCTGTGGTCCCCGCTGGGCTGGGGCCTGATGGTGGGAAGTCGGACGGGTACGGCCCGGGTCCCTACAGGGTTGCTCAGCCTATGGGGCTGGGGCCTGATACTGGCCTGGGTAAATACACACTAAAGAGAGAGGAGGTGAACAAAGGAAGAAGAAGAGAAAATAGAGGCAGAAAAAGGATAGAAAAAACGGAGTGGTCAGGAAAAATAAAGAGGTAGAGAGATGAAGAGAAGGATTAGACAAAGAAAAAAGCAAGTCCGTGATGAACACTGAAGCAGCAATAGAGGGTCTCAAAGGTCACTGTCAAAAACTCAAGGGTCACTGTCACAGGAAAGCCAGTAATCATTGTCATTTTACACATTTGCTTACAGTTGATGCCATAATTGAGTCATATGTTTTCCATGCTTTGATGTGGTCTGTGGGGTGGGAGGAGAGATGATGAGACTCTATAAGCAACCCTTGTGGTGTTCCACAGGGGGTGGAGTCGGTCAGCTTCCTTACAATGGAGCCCCAGTCAATACTGCTGGACTAGATGGTAAGAGCATTGTGACCCTGCTTATACAGTGTGGATGTGTGAGGGAAAATAAACTGTGTGTGTGTGTGGTTGTGAATGTTTATGTGAGGTCTTGTTATAACAGTATTAGACACAATTAAATACACTTTTTGCAATACATTCTCCCAGCAGGTGATGGAGGCTACCCTTATGGCGCTCAGCAACTGGGCCTTGGTGGTGGTGATGGAGGCAAATCCTTTAGCAAATATGGTGAGACTGGTAGTGTGTGTGTGTGAGAGAGAGAGAGCATAAGAAAGAGAAACAGAGATGTGTGTGTACTATCTTTTTATGTGTGTGAATATGTGCGTGTGTGTGTGGTATTTTCTTTCTAAACCTGTCTTGGTTCTGCTGTCTCCGACTATCTCTCTAAAGGCAACGGTGGGTTGCCACTGGGTGCACAGCCTTATGGACCTGAGACTGGTGGTGTTGGTGGTGGGAAACCACCTTGCAAAAATGGTACATGTCTTTGTGTACATGTCTGTCTGTCCTATATGCATCGTCAGTCGCTATACGTGTGTTTGTGTGTCCGTCCGTCCGTCTGCTCATGTGGTATATATGTTTTTGTGTGTGTCTTTTGTAGTATGTCTGAATGTGTTTGTCGTTGTTCCTCCCATTTACATGTGTGTACTTGTCTCTTGTCATTTCAGGAAATGGAGGGGGCTATGGAGCGCAGCCAGCAGGTGATTAAACTCACACTCACACCCACAACCCCTACACTGCTTATCTTGGGAAATTCTGTGTGTGGTAACTGCTTAAGGTGTGAATGCATGTGGTTGAGGAAGAGCACAAATTGTTCAGTGTTAGTCTGTTGTGCATGTTCTGTGCGTGTCTTGTAAATGTCCCTTATGTCAGTGTGTCCTGTCTGTGGTAACTATTGTTACGACTGTCATCTTGGCATGTGACTGCTTAGGCTATGGTCAAGGACAGCTGGGTGCAGGTCAGAGTGCCCCCTACAGTAACGGTACGTTATATAGTCACATTCCCTGACTGCTCTCTTCTGTCAGAATAATCATATTAGTTCCTATCAGTGGAGGCTGGTGAGGGGAGAATGGCTCATAGTAATGGCTGGAATGGAGTAGATCCATTCCAGCCATTATCGTAATTATAGTATAGAGAAAGAGAGGGAGATTATTGGCTGGAATTGAGTGGACAGAATGGAATGAAATGTGTTGCATTCCATTCCATCGAATCCATTCCAGCCATTACTATGCTGTCCTCCCCTCACCAGCCTCCACTGGTTCCTACGTCTAACCAGGGATGTCCATTAACGCCGTTGCATTTTTGTTTGTTCTGTTTGGTTGTTTTGTTGTCTCCTGAACTAACAAAACCTAAAGCAAGGGTCCTCCAATGTGGAGATAGAAAATAACATTCAGATGTCATCTGTTTGCTAATCTACTGCTCCTCCTTTGTGTCTGACTTTGTGTCTCCTTCAGGAGCAGGAGGGAAGGAAAGCAAATATGGTGGTGGTGGACTAAATGGATTCTTTGGAAATGGAGGATACAAAGGTGTGTGGGTTTGAGTTTTTGTTACTAATTTAATGGTTTGTTACTGTGACTCTGAGACATGAAGTCACCTTATTGCTCTCTTTAACCAGTTGGGATACAGAAAACACATTAAAGAAACAAAGATTATCAGGAAGAAGAAAAGAAGGAGAGTGAGAATAAGAGACTGAGAGAGAGAGCGACACTAGAGAGGGGGAGAGGTTTAGAGCTATGAGAGGAGTAGAGAGAGAGAGATAGAGAGAGGGGAGTTTTGGAAAAGGTTTAGGGGGGGAGAAAAGGAAAGGGGAGAGAATAGAGAGGGGGAGGGAATAGAGAAGAAGAGTAGAGGAAGAGGAAAAAAGGGGGGGGTAGAGGAAAGAGGGGAAAAGAAAGAAGGGGGAAGGGGAGAGGGAGAGAAGAGAGAAAAGAGGGGAAAAAGAAATAATAATATAATTCTTTTAGAAAATTTTAAAACAAATAAATTTTAAAGGGAAAAAAAAAACAAAGGCAAGGAAAAATGAAAAAAGAGAAGAAGAGAAAGAAAAAGAGAGAGAGGAGAAGGGGGGTTGGGGAAAAAGAAGGGGTAGGAAAAGGAAGTAAAGGGGAGGGGGGGGGAGAGAGAGATGAGAGGAGAGAGAAGAGAGAAAGGAGAAGAAAAGAGGTGGGGAAAGAGAAGAAAAGAGGGACCGGGGGGTTATTTATATTCTATATAAAAGCTTAAATTTCTATTTTTGTATTATATGCGAAAAGATCGTCTTATCTCTCTCTCTCTCTCTCTCTCTCTCTCTCTCTCTCTCTCTCTCTCTCTCTCTCTCTCTCGCTCTCTCCAGGTTAAGTTAATCAGCTGAGGCCTTCTTGAAGTGAATATTTGTTCCATTCCATCATGTGTTCATTGTGATGTTTGTTGTTTGGTCTGTTGTTACTTTTACCCATTCCATTTTTATTCTGTATTTGTCTGTTTTTTCTTCATGGTCCCTGTCTTTTGTATTGTTGTGCGTGACTGTCCCCTCTCTTCCTCTATGCCCCCTGCCTGTTTTTGGAGATTGTGTTGCCAGTGTGTTTGTGTTCATATCCATTTCACACTAAAGGTCAGAAAGCAACCGTATAATGTCTGTCTGTCTCCTCATTCTTTTAACCTTGGTAAAAGTTTGGTAAATGTACTGTACATGTAATGTGAGGGTTGAGTTTTAAGAATGAAGCTCTATGAGTTGAAATCAACACCAAATAAAATAAAATTCAAAGACATGTTCCCAAAACCTGACACCTGAATTCTTCTGAGATCATTATAAAGGGGGATATTCTCAGGGGCATTGTGATGGATATTACATACAGGAGATGTCATGTGTATGAAAAACGATTCCTTAGTACCTCAGTATGCTAGTGTTGTTTGTTCATGACATGGTACTTCTTATGTTACTGGGATGCTATTACTGACAATGTGTCCCCAAAGGCCTTCATTTTCTACACACGTTCCACAACAGAAATAGTTTTGTTGTTATATCAACGCGGCAGTACACTTCGTTCGTCTTTTGCATGGCGTCACCTAAACTTCATCCGTGCACAGGAAACCATAGCCCTTCCTCTCTCAAGTAAGGCAACAGTGCCTTCAAAACAACTGGTATCTCACTTAGACAAAACTAAACTAAATGCAACAATACATAACGTAAAAATACAACACCTAACATAAAAAGAAAAGACAGCTATGCACGTGCTCATCTTGCATCAACATGTACATATTGCCTGATATTGCCTAACTTCAGAGAACTTTGCATTTGAAACATAAAAGAGATCTCCCTGTGTGTGCTATAAGCATTTTATTTTGCATAAATTAACTCAATCATTCAGCAATTTTAACTTGAATGCAAGCTACCTTGTAAATAAACACAAACAAGTACAAAACAAGCAACTAATACTCAAAGATACAGTATAGAAAACAAAACACAATATACAAAACATTTTTCAACCAAAATATTTATTTTATTATTTTATTGAGAAGGTTGGAGAAATCTACCTGGGGTTTTGACATGGGTCACCATGCATACCTCTAAAATCTGCCACACTCTCTGCTCCCTGTACTGAGGCTCTTGTTGGCATGGAGATTGGGTCCGTCCACCAACACTCCCATACTCACCAGCATGTCCTTTGGAATGAGACGGGAGTGGCGAGACACATACACCTTCTCCAGGTGGGGATTCATAGGGGAGGGCACATAGTCCATACAGGAGGAGCCACCCAGACTGGGGGCACACACCGCCTCCCACTTGTAGAACATTTGGCCATGCTGGAGGTTGCAGAGATCCTCCTTCACCCCGGCTGTCAGCTCCTTCTCACATTCTCCTAACAGGTCGTCGTTCCATTTGTCGTCCTCGTCCCACACCTCAAATCTCAGCTTCTTACTGGTTGACAGATCCACGTTTCCTAGGTCATAGCTCATTGACCAGCTGGGGTTGTTGTTGTTGTAGATAACTGTAGTGCGTCCGATCGTCTGGCCTGCGAAAGCTACCTTCACGTAGCCGTCAGTGGCAGTGGTGTGGTCTCCCCACAAGTTGGCCCCTCTCTGAACAGTGATGACCACCCGCGCCAGGCCCTTGCGGGTGGGGCAGCAGTCGACGCTCACCCCGGGGTTGTTGTGGCAGTTGCAGACGCAGGAGTCTTTGTAGTCACTTTTGATGCCAGTTTGACAGGGTTCAGAACAGTTCTTCCAAAAGGCCTTCTCCAGGATGTAGTCGCTGATGGCCTTGCGCAGGTGCTTCCGAGCTGGGTTGGTGGTGGGCAGCAACTCATGTAGAGATTCCAGCGAATAGGAGATGATGTCCGGATAGAGTGGTAGGGAGTTCAGCCATTCCTTGTAGGAGGAGGGATCTTTATCAGCAGAGAAGAGTAGTTCTGGTTCTGTGGTGTGGCCACCCTTCACCTCTGTGAACCTGTAGGGTGACAGAGGGGGAGAAGGTTTTTGTGAGGGGCAGTACACATTTCAGTAAGGGAGAGTATGTATTGATTAGGGAAGTGTGAAGAGAGAGGGAGACAGAAATAAAGAAATTGTGTGAGGGGAATCTATATATGAATGAGCAGCAGACTATAATTCCCCACCTATCATTGAAGACACTGGAGAAGCTGGCCTTGCTCTCTGTCTTAGACTTATCCTCCTGACAGTGCTTGTACTCAGTCTTCAAGCTGTTGCCGTCACCCACACTGGCAGACGCCTCCACATCCAGACACATCTTCACCTCCTCTGCACTGAGACCCTGCAGGCTGGCCTGGCACTGCATAATACTGGTCACAGACTGCACCGTTCCACCCAGGCTCACCTACACAGGATGAGAGGGTAGAAAGTAATGAATGTTCCCAGAGGGATGCCAGTAAACTGCACATCTAGGGGCAAACATCTCTAATTTTGATATTTAGTTTGTGTGCCTATTGCCTTGATGATTTACCACATTGATGTTGACCATCTCTCTCCCTCACCTTGGTAATGTAATGGGTGCCAAAGTTATCAATAAGCTTGTAATAACGTTGTTTGTTTTCTTGTTGATATATTTTGGGGAGATTCTTCACTGCTGTCTTGAATTCTCTGTGTAACTTGGGCTGGCCTGATACTCTATAGCTATTTGTGGAGAGAGAAAAGAGAGAGGGGGGTTAATGTTGTATGGATACAGACAAACACTCATAAAATGAAACGATCACAGAAATATACCAGACATGCAAAAATACACTTTTATTTACAATCCCCAAAGGAAACTGTGAGATGAGGTTTTACAGAGACACAAGGGTAAAATGAGCTCATGCTGTGTGGGCCACCTGATGTTTACCTGTAATACCCGCAGGACACACCGTGGCTTGTGAAACTGAACTTGTCACTCTTGGTTTTCTCCATGGAGTACTCAGCCAATTTGGAGTTGGTTCCAGCGAACATCATCTTCCCACTTTTTGATCCCTTCTCTAACTCTAGATTGACCTGCCAGTTATTCTCCACAGCAGAGCTGCTGGCGCTGACGAGAGACTCACTGGAGCGATGGAGTTTACTGGACACTTTCATACTACACTGGTGGTTTGGTCTCCAATCCACCACGGCCAAAGGAAGCCTCTGTTTTTTCCCTTCCAGATAGGGATTCTTACAGAGGGTGCATGTCTTGTCTTTGCGTTTCCACACATTCATGTCAATGACAAAGGCTCCTTTGCGTTTCATTTTGGTGATGTCGAAGCCTTCCCCTGCTAGGTTGGTTCCAGGAGCAAATTCTGCCTCTTTGCACTCATTGGCTGAGCCGATGGTGCATGATTGGCAACTGGGACGAGGTAGGGACAACATGAGCACTGCCCAGAGGCATACTATCAATAAGGACATCCTGGATGAGGTGAGAAGTTGTTTGGGACGGGCAGCTGCAAGTCACAGTTTCATGCTGAAAAAAACAAAAATAAATTATTTGTGAATTAGAGGGTAATTATTGTAATGAAGTAAACAATTATTGATAACCAAGATATAACATAACTTATTTCAAGTCAGCATGCAAACGTAACCTATAGGCCATAGCATAAGCTAACACATATTGTTCATCTACCCACATGTTTACCCATATTTTACACAAACGTATGAAAACTTGATGCTAGTGTACATGGAACTTAGACATAAATATACCCAATTTACATAATGGTTATTGTTGAATTCAAGTTCCATGTCATCATATTAATTCCCTGAATTGAATCCTCAATGGAAATGAGTCATGACCCTCAACCATGAAATACATAATATGGTATAAGCAAAACATTTGCATAAACTCAATCTTGTTCTGTCTCATCCCACTTGTTATCTATCCATTTCAAATGCCACTCTCTTATTGACTGTACAGTTTGTTGTTCAATTTCTCTTTCTTTTGTTATCCGTTGTGGTAGTACAGGGTCCCCTGTAGCTCAGTTGGTAGAGCAAGGCGCTTGCAACACCAGGGTTGTGGGTTAGTTTCCCACGGGGGGCCAGCATGAAAATGTATGCACTCACTAACTGTAAGTCGCTCTGGATAAGAGCTTCTGCTAAATGACTAAATTGTAGTACATGTGTTACTGCAGCCTACTATTAAAGTCAAATCAAATTATTAGAATATGTGTACTCAAAAATATTATTTTAGTCCATATTCATATAAATATTTGTGTAAGTTTACTTTCTATAAAAATGTTGCAAACCAAACAAAATATACAGCATTAAAACTCACCTTTGACCAGTCTGTCCAATATGTGATGGATGTGAGAGTGAGAGGCTGGGGCAATAATGTACCGTATTAAAGTTCCTTTGTGATATAGGAAAAAGTGTGTTCATACTCAAACAGGGGATGAGCAAATGGAGGGTTGAGGTGATGTTGGTCTTGGTATAGACGATGCAAAAGAGTGTCTGGTGCAGAATAGAACTTTTAGTGGTTTCAGAGAGCGAGAATTGAGCGGAAGAGGGGTTGGGGTGGTGGTCTGGTCTGCTGCTCAGCGGAAAAATACAACAGTGGTCTTCCAGTTAAATGATAATCATATCTGCCTTCATCTGTCAGACCTATTACTTTGTCATTTCTCTGAAGTGGTGGTGTGGGTTGAGAATATGAAACTGTTGAGAACATATGATAGCCTACTAGGTCTAGGAAACCCTGGGTGATGTGATATAAGAAGGAATTTACTTTCTCAATTATATAACTGCTAATTCAATATAACAAGCTACATGTATGTTCTGAAATATAGACCAACTATAATTAGGTTGTTGCTGTAGAAGAGGCAGAGCAATATGAGCCGGCCATGGATAACTGACTGAAGGAAGAATGTTTTTTTTAGTCAATAAAGTTGTTTTATTTTTCAATATGACATTACACCATTACGCTAATAACAACACAAACATAACACACAATAAGACCGTAAACAAGACAACACCCTTCAAACATATATCAGTGAACAACAAGTAAATAAAAAGGAAAGGTAAAGATAAAAAACACCCATTATACATACATTTGTACTAATTTATATACCCCAGCTTCTCACCCACACGTCCAGCCCCTTATATATACTGAACAAAAATATAAACACAACATGTAAAATGTTGGTCCCATGTTTCAAAGATCCCAGAAATGTTCCATACGCACAAAAAGCTTATTTCTCTCAAGTTTGGGCACAAATTTGTTTACATCCCTGTTAGTGAGCATTCGTTTGCCAAGATAATCCATCCACCTGACAGATGTGGCATATCAAGAAGCTGATTAAACAGCATGATCATTACACAGGTGCACCTTGTGCTGGGGCAATAAAAGGCCACTCTAAATGTGCAGTTTTGTCACACAACACAATGCCACAAATATCTCAAGTTTTGAGGGAGCGTGCAATTGGCATGCTGACTGCAGGAATGTCCACCAGAGCGCTTTAAAGAATATGTCAGTACATCCAACCGGCCTCCCAACCGCAGTCCACGTGTAACCATGCCAGCCCAGGACCTCCACATCCGGCTTCTTCACCTGCGGGATGGTCTGAGACCAGTCACCCGGACAGCTGATGAAACTGTGTGTTTGCACAACTGAAGAATTTCTGCACAAAATGTCATAAACCGTCTCAGGGAAGCTCATCTGTGTGCTTGTCGTCCTAACCAGGGTCTTGACCTGACTGCAGTTCATTGTCGTAACCGACTTCAGTGGACAAACGCTCACCTTTGATGACCACTGGCATGCTGGAGAAGTGTGCTCTTCACAGATAAATCCCGGTTTCAACTGTATTGGGCAGATGGCAAACAGCGTGTATGGCGTTGTGTTAGTTGATGTCAACGTTGTGAACAGAGTGCCCCATAGTGGCACTGGGGTTATGGTATGGGCAGGTTTAAGCTACGGACAATGAACATAATTGCATTTTATCTATGGCAATTTGAATGTACAGAGATACCGTGACGAGATCCTGAGGCCCATAGTCATGCCATTCATCCGCCGCCATAACCTCATGTTTCAACATGATAATCCCCGGCCCAAGGATCTGTACACAATTCCTGGAAGCTGAAAATGTCCCAGTTCTTCCATGGCCTGTATACTCACCAGACACGTCACTCATTGAGCATGTTTGGGATGCTCTGGATCGACGTGTATGACACCGTGTTCCAGTTCCCAACAATATCCAGCAACTTCGCACAGCCATTGAAGAGGAGTGGGACAACATTCCACAGGCCGCAATCAACTGCCTGATGAACTCTATGCAAAGGAGATGTGTCGCGCTGCATGAGGCAAATGGTGGTCACACCAGATACTGACTGGTTTTCTTTTTTTAAAGGTACCTGTGACCAACAGATGCATATCTGTATTCCTAGTCATGTGAAATCCATAGATTAGGGCCTAATGAATTTATTTCAATTGACTGATTTTGTTATATGAACTGTAACTCAGTAAAATCTTAGAAATTGTTGCCTGTTGCGTTTATATTTTTGTTCAGCATAATTCTAAAAGTGTTCCCATATCAGACAAAATTTGAAGGAACAATGTTAACCAGCCCACACTCAGTTGACACACTCTACCATGTAGGCTGCTCATTTCCAAATGTAGTAGGAAGTTAAAACATGTTTGAGGGAGATTCCACTGCCTTAGCTCCAAGCTTAATTTTAATGTGTCAATCAGAACTATCAAAAAATAAACAATGGCATCAAGTCTCTCATATAAAGAGACTGACATTTATGGCATGTTACACCCATAGGGTCACCTCATAGGACAACTATTGAAATGTTGAGACTGGCCGACTGGGAGACTCATAATGTTATTCAAGTTTAGATATGAAATGACACTCATCTAGAGAGAGAGAGAGAGAGAGAGAGAGAGGGAGTGAAAAAGCGGGAGGGAGAAAGAGAGAGAGTGCAAAAATATCCTATGCGTTCAACGTAAAAAAACAAATAATGCATGCAGAGCAGAATTAGGCCTATACCCGCTAATTTTCAAAATCCAGAAAAGAGCCGTTAAATTCTACAACCACCTAAAAGAAAGCGATTCCCAAACCTTCCATAACAAAGCCACCACCTACAGAGAGATTAACCTGGAGAAGAGTCCCCTAAGCAAGCTTGTCCTGGGGCTCTGTTCACAAACACAAACAGACCCCACAGAGCCCCAGGACAGCAACACATTTAGACCCAACAAAATAATGAGAAAACAAAAAGAGAATTACTTGACACATTGGAAAGAATTAACAAAAAAACAGAGCAAACTAGAATGCTAGTTGGCCCTTAACAGAGTACACAATGGCAGAATAACTGACCACTGTGACTGACACAGAATTAAGGAAAGCTTTGACTATGTACATACTCAGTGAGCATGGCCTTGCTATTGAGAAAGGTCGCCGTAGGCAGACCTGGCTCTCAAGAGAAGACAGGCTATGTGCACACTGCCCACAAAATGAGGTGGAAACTGAGCTGCACTTCCTATCCTCCTGCCAAATGTATGACCATATTAGAGACACATATTTCCCTCAGATTACACAGACCCACAAATCCAATTTTGATAAACTCCCATATCAAATCAAATCAAATCACATGTTATTTGTCACATGCGCTGAATACAACAGGTGTAGACATTACAGTGAAATGCTTACTTACAAGCCCTTAACCAACAATGCAGTTTTAAGAAAAATAAGTGTTAAGTAAAAAATAGATAAGTAAAAATAAAAGAAGAAGAAAAATAACAAAGAATTAAAGAGCAGCAGTAAAATAACAGTAGTGAGGCTATATACAGGGGGTACCGGTACTGAGTCAATGTGCGGGGGCACAGGTTAGTCGAGGTAATTTAGGTAATATGTACATGTGGGTAGAGGTAAAGTGACTATGCATAGATAATAAACAGAGAGTAGCAGCAGCGTAAAAATAGGGATTTTATCTATTGGGTGAAATACCACAGTGTGCAATCACAGCAGCAAGATTTGTGACCTGTTGCCACAAGAAAGGGGCAGCCAGTGAAGAAAAAACACTGTTGTAAATACAACCCATATTTATTTATTGTCCCTTTTGTACTTTAACTATTTGCACATCGTTACAACACTGTATATAGACATAATATGACATTTGAAATGTCTTTATTCTTTTGGAACTTATGTGAGTGTAATATTTACTGTTCACTTTTTATTGTTTATTTCACTTTTGTTTATTCATTTCACTTGCTTTGGCAATGTGAACATATGTTTCCCATGCTAATAAAGCCCCTTGAATGTAATTGAATTGAAAGAGAGAGAAAGAAAGAAAGAGAGCGTGGAAACAAGATTTTAGATTCATATTTAGAGAAACATTAATATGCTCCTAGTAACTAAGTTATTACTTTTTGGTGAACAATTGTATTTTTATTGAATCACAATCTATAAAGTCAATTAGAATTATTAGGCATCCCTCCAACAATATATTTTCTCTATGCTTGGCCCTCTCACAACTACAGTATCATATCAGATAGAAACACACCCATAGAAATATAATCTATGAACACACCCATGAACACAATTCTGTGCTCCAATTGGTTTAGTAATGGCGTGTTCATGTTATAGGCTTTCCTATTGGCTAATGAACGGTGAACGTAGAGCGCAAACTGCGAGGGCTGGTTGAATGACATGACACCCGCCACCCTGGTTGGCACTACAATCAGCCTCTCACCTTCTTATCCTATGTGCATTTTTGTGTATGTTAAAATAAACTTTGCTGTTGTAGGCCTAAATGTGTTAACTACGTGAAAGTAATTAGAAAAATACATAGGAGAAGATGTAAGATTAATATACAAATAACTTTGTTTCTTTTTGCCATCATGTTTCCTAAATTCTAGAGAGAGGATAGCCTAATTATTGGTGCAGCCATTATTAAACATAATTCCAAAAGAATACTAGACAGTGACTGGTGAGGTATTGTCCCTGTCTCCCTTGTGCTGTTTTCTCATAAAACCCCAGTGTAAGTCCCTCGCACTCACTTGTCGATTCTCTTCAGTACGGCTCTATACCCACATTGGATTAGAGCGTCACTGCCGGGTACAGGGCATCAATCATCCGATGCGAGGGACTCGACGCCGGTGAACAAACGAGCCACATTTAACAAGTGTTTGGACGGAATCTTGATGGGAAATGGGGGTATCAATCCGAGAGAAGATTTGGACACGAAAATCTGTATTTTTTGGTGTCGGAGTGACATCTTCCTTATACATATTTGTTTGAAATCTCCCAGTGCAAATCACAGCAGCAGCACGCTAACGCGTTCCATCGCACTCCATCTCCAGACATCTGCAGTTGTTGGTCGGTGACAAACTAGCTAGAAGCTAGCTGCAACCAGAATATGGATATTTTTGTAAAAACAATAGAGATAATTGTG